TCTAGGTTCGGGAGTCGGTTACGCAGAGGGAAGGTATTAGCACCCTCTACGTCCGTTGTACTCAACGGGATCCTCTTGATCGATTCGAGAGTAAAGTTAACTATGCTTATTTGTTTTCTTCTAAGGTTTCTCCTATGGGGGAAATGGATGGTTATAGTATAGGGTGCTCGCCAAGGATTGGGGCCCTTGTGCCTAAGTATCTTCACTTGTAAGAAGTGGAAAATCAGAGCATTCGTAGTTCGTGGGACTACGGGAAAAGAGGGGATTGTGCTCGCCAAGATCGTCGCAATCTTGTGCCTACGTATCTTACATTCAGAAGAGGGAATAAAGAATCAGAGCAGCTGTAGTTCGGCTAACTACGGTAAAGAGGTTTGGTATGGGAACGAACGAGTGTTTAGGTTGCATTCTAACTGCTAAACGTTGGCTTGTCTGCTCGCTAGGGGAGGCGGAAGCACGAGTTTGTTATGCGTGGAAGAAGGGAATAAACAATGTTCTTGGTAAAAGGTATGGGAACCTAAAGGTGGGAAAGAAGGAAGAGTGGAAAAGTGCTCGCTAGGATCATCGCAATCCTATGCCTACGTATTCTCAACGGATGTGAGAAATCAGAGCAGTCGTAATTCAGCTGACTACGGTAAAAGGTTTGAAACAGGGACGAACGAGTGTTTAGGTCGCATTCTAACTGCTAAACGTTGGCTTGTCTGCTCGCTAGGGGAGGCTGAAGCACGAGTTTGTTATGCGCGGAAGAAGGGATTAAACAATGTTCTTGGTAAAAGGTGTTTTGGTTGGAAATCGCACGAGGGCGAGGAATTTGCGTTTATCGCATTGGATGTTTTGGTTTGGGATATATTTGAATAAGTTTAAGGTTTCGATTGCACGGGGGCAAGAAATATGAGTTGGAATGATTGGATATTGTAAGGGAGAATGACGACTATTCGATAAACGAGACGTCAGTCTCGCAATCGATTAATCGGGATATCATTGGAATGCTAGATCCCAATAACACCTTGTTCATTCGAATAATTTCGAAATATGTTCGAAGTTGTGTTGAGAAACGAAAGATTGATTGACAAGCAACCTAAGAGTGTGCCTTAAGAGCTTGTTACTCAAGAATTCAAGGAATGCGAGATTCCAAGAACTCTATTCTTTCGGAAATAGTTTGGGTTAGAAATCGCACGAGGGCGAGGAACTAATGTTTTGAAAAGATTCAATCGCACGGGGGAGAGAGAAGAGTTGGAATGGTTGAAAATTTAGGAGAGAATGACGACTGCTCGATAAACGAGACGTCAGTCTCGCAATCGATTAATCGGGATATCATTGGAATGCCAGATCCCAATGATACCTTTTTCATTCAATTAATTATGAAAGTGTATTTGAATGGACAATGGCGATATTTGTCCAAATAGTTAGGGCACGTGTTTTATAAACGAAAGGTTGAGCGAACCACAACCTAAAGCGTACGCCCCAAGAGTAGTTACTCAAAAATTCAAGGGGTGCGAGACTCCAAGAACTCAGTTCTTTCGTAATTTGATTAGGAAAATAACTCGAATTTGATGTACGGTTTAGAGACATACTAGGGTTTAGACTCGACCGTACGGAGGTGAGAAACGAGGTTAGAGAGGTTGTATGTTTAGGAGGAATGACGACTACTCGATAAACGAGACGTCAGTCTCGCAACCAATTAGTCGGGATATTGTTGGAATGCTAGATCCCAACGACAATCTTTTTCATCCCATTAATTATGAAAGTGTTTGTTGGACAGTGAATACTTTTCCAAATAATTATGGAGATATTTTAGAAACGAAAGTTCGAATGATATACTGTTCGAGGTGTACACCTTGATCGTAATTATTCTCGAATTCAAGGAATGCGCGACTCCAAGAACTCGATACTTTTGTAATTTAATTATGAAAATAATTTGAAAATATTAGCGTACTCGGACTAGGCGCGCTATGTATTCTAGAAAATAAGATCGAAAGGGGCACAACTCGTGGCGTGCACCTTGAGAGCAGTCGCTTAAAAAATTCAAGGAAGGCGAGATCCAAGAATTTAATTATTTTGAAATTTGTTTTTAGGAAAATAGTTTAATTTAATTAAGAAAAATAATTTTAATTTTCATATATAAAATTAATAATCAATTATGAGAAATCTAATATTTAAAAAAAGTTTAATATTTTAAAAAATCTATTTAGTATTATTTTTTAAATATATATTTTTATAAAAATATTTATAGAATGTTTAAAAATATCTTTTTAGAAGTTTTAATTGAGAAAAAAACGTTTTGAAAACCGAAAGACGAAACAACCACAACTCGAGGGCGTGCGCCTCGAGAGCGGTTGTTCAAAGACTCAAAGGATGCTAGACCCTAAGAACCCACTACTTTCGTTATTAATTAAGAAAATGTTTTGATTAATCGCATTGAAAAATATTTAATTGAATTTGAAATAAAACTAAAGGTTTGAATAACTTATTGAAATTGTTTATTATACTTAAATCACTTACCATGACCCAAAATCACTAATTTATAACGGTATAGAATTTACTAACTAAAAAACTAATACTGTTTATTAATTCATAACAAGAGCTAATTTACTAAATTAGAACTAAGATTATTAATTAAAAACAGCAGCCAGTTTACTAACTCAGAACTAACATTATTAATTCACAATCAGCTTGAATATTAACGACGTCACGTCGGATATTCGACAAAGTTTTAGAACAAAAACAACCACACAATGCCTTGAAAACAAAGATAAATACATCGAATCTCCAGTAGCAAACAAGCCCAATCGAGTGCTGATATACAATTGAACCAAAGAGCAAGGATTCAAGGATTTACCGACGTCGTATAACCAGAGTGAGAGCTGCCACAAGATTGTTGAAGATGAAGCTGCTGCGGTACATGTATCAACACTGATATGGTTGCAGTGTCAAAGTTGTTGTTGAGAAGACGTGAATTCGTTGGCCAGACTCGTTGATGCATATGGAGTTGTATTACTGCAAATACAGGGCAAACTACCTCCAAAACAAACAAATATAAATCTTGCACAAAAGTTACTGTTATATTAATTCACCAACATCAGCTATAAATAAAAACCAGCATACTTCATGTACTTAATCCAAAGATTACTCATTCACCGAGTAATGCACTCAATTGAACAAGGTCACAGCCAAAAACCAACAACATATACACTAATCTAAATCCACAGACAAATCAACAATTGACATAACAGGCAGTTAAGATGAAATAAAAAAGAAATGGCTCGAAACGATACTTGAACCTCGATGGTTGATGCTGATTTTGTAGCAAGGTCGGTTTCCTCGTGTATCACTTGAAATGCCGAGTTGATGCTGTGATTCAGCATTGACGAATTTTGCTGCGGTAAACCAATAGCTATAACGCCGTTAAAAAACTCCTGAATCCTGGCCTGTAGCTGTTGAAGTTACATCTCCGAAACTTCGACCTGCAGATTGAGAAGTTTGCTGAGCTTGTTTTTGAATGCTTCAATGTTGTTGTGTTGAAGACAGATACAGGCTTCAGAAACAGTATTTGCCAAATCATCCAATGCATTACCACCCTCAAAGACAAGACCTCTGACAGGATAGTTCAACAATTTAGATATTTTCACATCACGATTTAGTTTGCCGATTTTCTTAGTAGGAGCCTTCTCAATTGGAAAAGGCAGCTTCAAATAATATGCCTGGAAGTGAAGATGGTTAATAGTAGCGAATGCCCCCAAGCTGTTGTAACCCAATCGAAAATAGGGATTTCCGGCTTCGGCTGCCATGTGAAGGGCAAGCAAAAGCTTGCGTGATCAATCCTTTGAGGCAAACACTCGAAAATTCGAGGAATCAGCAGCACATGCCCATATTCAATAGGACTAACATTGATGGCTACAAAACTAGGAGAATTCTCAACAACAACTGGTGCATTCGGAAAGAACTGAGCATCCCCGTCACTGCTAGCCTCAAACTGAAACAGGATTTCTTCTTGTCCAACTTTAGTGAAGTTGAACTTGGTTTCATCAAAAGGCTGGAGAACCGTGTCAACCCGAAACTCAGTTGGCCTCTTCTTGAGGTGACGACCCTCGTTCAACTGAGCAATGAAACCATGCTCACCCGGAATCACCTTGGTTTCACACGCAGTGACATCATAACGGAAAAGGCCTCTCTGCATATGATCCTCCCACTGTCCAAGAATAATCGAGTCCAAAAAAGGTCACACGCTGTTCGTTGCATGCAAGGAGAGCCAACTCCTCTCCATCAACCTTATCACCTCTTTTGAAACCATACAGAGGGAGCTTAGCCTCTTGAATGCAACAACTCTTGAGACAATTTCGACCACAACCACTAATAGCATCATCCTCATATTTTTGATAATTGGAAACCACAGTAGGAACCCTCTTAATACTCAACATCTTCTCTATCTCCATAAACCGACACCAGCTCGCCGCAGTTGCCGCAGAAGTTGCTGTTGAAGTGGTCATCACGGTTGTAACGGTGTATTCGACTCAACTCTTGAATACTCGTGCTTCCAGCTGCAAGCACACGGCCATCCGACGAGATGATAGTGCAGTCAGAACTAGCTCGGCTTTACAATCGCTTCCGCAACACATAAACCTGCATTGAATGGAAACACACCCAAACAGACTAGGAAAACATATTTTGAGTTCAAAATCAAACAAACAGGGTTGTATTAGAAGATGAGAATTCAACAGCAATCCTTTCTAGTTCTAAAAGATGCGGATTCGGACAAAACACAACATTTTAAGCACAAGCACGTATTAAAATTATTGAGTTACAATGTAAGAGATACTTGAATAGCCTGCTGTTGGATTGGTGTTGGTTCTCTGAATCCATGTTCTGCCAGATTCCGCAATAAATAGGACGGACATCTATAACTTGTTTTCAACTCATCAAAGCTTTGAAGTGGGGACGGCACATTGTAACCGGAGACATGAATGTTATGAATCTTCCTAAAGATAGCATCACGCTCGAGTTGTTTATTTTTCTTTCTTCAGACGAATGGACTCATCATCACCGGCTTGGACTTTTTCATTTGTCTTCGATGTTGAACTTCGGAACACGCTGAATCCACCAACAGCTTCAGAAGAGGTTTTCTTTCGCTTCCTTTTCTTTGAAGACACAGCTTCTATTGTTTCCTTAATGTGGATAACTCCATCAAATTGAAAACATTTCATTTCAATATCCGCCCTGATTTTCAATGGCTGAGGGGTCATCCGTCTTCTAATGTTCTTCACTAGAGAATCCTTCACTTCTTCAGAAACAACAGGTACCACCTTGGTCACCTCTTGTCCATCAGGACCAACTTCCTTAATTTCCCGCATAAGTGTGCTCAAAAATGTATCTGGATCAGTCACAACTATTTTGAAAGCCTCAAAGGCGTGTCCATATTTGCGGTACAAAGGCCAAGCAATGTGAATATAAAGGTCCTCTAAATCGAGATTCAAGGTTTCAGCAACATGACGCATAATAGAGTGAATAAGTTTACTCTTATTATACCTTTCTTCACAAGCTTGAATATCTTCTTCAGAAACCCTACGTTTACTGAGATCGATGTAACCCTTTTCCTTATCAACACGAAGAACCATCACCGGTTCAATTCTACCCACCTTGATGAGACTGCTAACACTACGAATTCGACGGCGAGAGAGTTCGGAGAACAGAATCATACCCTCGATGTTGTTGTATTCGAGAAGTGAAACGTAAGCACCCATGTCGGCTATGTTCTTGACCTGTATCATCACTGCCATGTCTACTTCTGGGTATCGTGCCTCGTACATGCGACATTCCAAATTCGGAGCCATTGATGTTGGGTTTTTGCTTTGTGTTTTCTTCTGTGAATCGAACAAGATAACTGGTTTTGATTTAGTTTCTGTGTTTTGGTGATGAATTGAAGGTGTGAAATGAGGGTTGAAGGGTAAAAGTGATAATGATGAAGACGGAGGGTTGAACGGTGGCGGAGATGAGAGGGTGGGTGGTTTCGGCGCCGATTTGGGACTGGGATGAATTAGGGTTTTTTGGGGATGAATTGGGGATGGTTTTTTTTAGGGTTGCCCTTCAGAATTAGGGGCGGCCGTTATTCTTTAGGGTTTTGTGAACAGTGTCCCTTATTTCCTAGGGTATGGTGAACAGTGTCCCTTATATAATCCCAAATCCTTAAACCCTAATTTCCCTATCTAACCAAACGTGTTTCTCATTCAACCTTTTTCTATTTATTTTTGTTTTTTTTCTTTTAATTAATTAATAATTCTTTTTATTATGTTTTTTTTAATTATTATATCAACTATTACTAACTTAAATTCTAATCTAATTTTTTAAAAACAAATCCTAATTAAATTCTAACTTTATTTTAATTTTATCTTAATTAAACAATTCTAATCTAATTAATTAATAATTTATTCTAATTTAAAAAATTAAAATAAAATAAAAAAAAAACTAATCTAAACATAATTTAAATTCTAAATCTTGAAATAAAATATATATATAAGAAATAATAACAAATAAAAAGATGCCACGTGGCATGCTCTTATCGGGCTAAAAGGTAAAAATGCTCGTTTTTGCTGAAAAATACGCTACGCTGCATAAGCGAGGTAAATTAAAAACAAAGTCGGGCATATGAGAATTTTGAAAAAAGGTAGGACAAATTTGGGGTATGACAGCCAAGTCTTAGAAATTCCTGTCAAGATGGACAAGTTGAGGTTGGGGTATCGCCCGACGTCGTCATCTTCCGCATCAGGCGTGTCAAAGTTCAAAGGACCAGTGGTGATCACTCCAGGTGAAGTCTGTTATGAAAAGATTAATGTTGTTTCCGATGCTGAAGACGAAGATAGTGACTGTGATATGGACTCGTGGATCAAGCCCGGCGTGCCAGGACAGAGTCTGTGCAACTGGTCTATCCAGGAACTTGTCCAAGTGACTGCAAAATAGTAATGATTTGTTTTCTCGATTATTGTATAATCCTGTGTCCTACCCGGGGGATAGTGATCTTGCTTTTAGGGCTACCTATTTATGTGTGTACTCTGTTTAATCATTAATAAAGGCGTTTTTCTCATGCAAATTTTGTGATCCTTGTTTTTCCTGTTTTTGTTTAACAATGAAATGGTAACGTGGTTATGTGCTTTGGTTGCATTATTTGAAACATTTAACCATTCTCATTGCAGGATTCATATTTCAGACGACACCGATCACGAACTTCCTATGACTCGCTTCGACTTCGAGCGCCCGATATTTCAAGCAGAAGAAGAGATTGTTGAGGATAATGACTTATCAGAAGAGCTGACTCAACTTTTGAAACAAGAAGAGAGAATCATTCTGCCTCATCAGGAGGAAATTGAAATTATCAACGTGGGGTCCGAAGAGGTTGTCAGGAATATCCGGATAGGGGCTGCACTGCAAAGTGATATCAAGCAAAGTTTGATCGAGATGCTGCGAGAGTACAATGATATCTTTGCTTGGTCTTACGAAGACATTCCTGGGTTGGATACTGGTATGGTGGTTCACCGTTTGCCATTGCGTGAGGAATGTCCATCGGTTAAGCAAAAACTCAGAAGAACTCGACCAGATATGGCTGTGAAAATTAAGGAGGAAGTTCAGAAACAATGGGATGCTGGTTTTCTGGCTGTTACGACTTATCCCTCATGGGTCGCCAATATAGTACCTGTACCAAAGAAAGATGGTAAGGTGCGGATGTGCGTGGACTATCGAGATTTGAATAGGGCGAGCCCAAAAGATGACTTCCCGCTTCCTCATATTGATGTGCTGGTCGACAACACCGCTCAATTCTCCGTGTTTTCCTTCATGGACGGCTTTTCGGGCTATAATCAGATAAAGATGGCGCCGGAGGATATGGAGAAAACAACTTTTATTACCCCGTGGGGAACGTTCTTCTACAAAGTGATGCCCTTTGGTTTGAAGAACGTCGGGACAACATATCAGCGAGCTATGACAACACTCTTTCATGACATGATGCATAAAGAGATCAAAGTCTATGTTGACGATATGATTGCCAAATCCCAGAAGGAGGAAGAGCATATGGTCAATCTTCTGAAATTTTTCAAGAGGCTTAGGAAATTCAGGCTGAGGCTGAATCCTAACAAGTGCACCTTCGGGGTGAGATCTTGTAAGCTATTGGGGTTTATTGTGAGCGAAAAAGGAATTGAGGTTGATCCTGCTAAGATAAAAGCAATACAAGAAATGCCAACGTCGAAAACAGAAAAAGAGGTTCGTGGCTTTTTAGGGAGATTGAATTACATTGCTTGGTTCATATCTCATCTAACGGCCACGTGTGAGCCATTATTCAAGTTATTGAAAGAAGATCAGGTTGTGACCTGGAGTGAAGATTGTCAAAAGGCGTTTGAAAAAATAAAAGAATATTTGCAGGAACCTCCAATATTGATACCCCCAGTAGCCGGGAGACCATTGATTATGTATTTGACGGTTCTTGAGAAAAGTATGGGTTGTATTCTCGGTCAACACGACGAGACTGGACGTAAAGAGCATGCAATTTATTACTTGAGTAAAAAGTTCACAGATTGTGAGTCTCGTTACTCAATGCTCGAAAAAACGTGTTGTGCGCTAGCCTGGGCTGCCAAATGTTTGAGGCAATACATGCTAAATCATACAACCATGCTAATTTCAAAGATGGATCCGATCAAATACGTGTTTGAAAAGCAAGCACTTTTCGGAAGGATTGCCCGATGGCAGATGGTATTGACAGAATACGATATTCAATATGTTTCTCAAAAGGCTATTAAAGGTAGTGTTCTGTCAGAGTACCTAGCTGAGCAGCCAATTGATGATTACCAGCCGATGAGGTTTGATTTTCCTGACGAGGATATCATGTACTTAAAAATGAAGGACTGTGAGGAGTCGTTGCCGGATGAAGGTCCAGAGCTGGGTTCCAAATGGCAATTGATATTTGACGGTGCTGTTAATTCATATGGAAGTGGAATAGGGGCAATCATTACTACTCCCCATGGGTCGCACATCCCATTCACTGCCAGATTGACCTTTCCAGTTACCAACAATGAGGCCGAATATGAAGCATGCACTATAGGGCTCGAAGAAGCTATTGATTTGAGAATTAAAAATCTTGATGTATACGGAGACTTTGCTCTAGTCGTGAATCAAATCAAGGGAGAGTGGGAGACTCGCCAGCCCAATCTGATACCCTATATGAATTATGCAAGGAGGTTGTTACCTTTCTTTGACAAAGTGGAACTGCACCATGTACCACGAGCAGAAAATCATATGGCAGACGCTCTCACGACGTTGTCTTCAATGTATAAGGTTAACTTCTGGAATGAGGCTCCCAGGATAGTTATCTCTCACCTTGATAGGCCCGCTTTCATATTCGCCATTGAGGAAGCTTCTGATGGCAAACCGTGGTATTATGATATCCAGAATTTCCTGAAGAACCAAGAGTATCCGGCTAGAGCATCCAGTCGTGATCAAAAGACTCTTAGGAAATTGGCTGGCAATTTCTATTTGAATCCGGATGGCGTTTTGTACAAAAGAAACCACGACTTGGTGTTGTTGCAGTGTGTGAACGAGAAAGAGGCTAAGTTGCTCATGGAAGAAATCCACGAGGGTACATTTGGCACACATGTCGGCGGACATGCAATGACGAGAAAGTTATTACGAGCAGGGTACTACTGGATGACTATGGAAACAGATTGTTTCAAGTTTGCGAAGAGGTGTCATAAATTCCAGATTTATGCGGACAAGATTTATGTGCCTCCAAGCCCTCTGAACGTTATGTCATCACCTTGGCCTTTTTCCATGTGGGGAATTGATGTGATTGGAAAGATTGAGCTCACGGAATCCAACGGACATCGTTTTATCTTGGTAGCTATTGATTACTTCACCAAATGGGTTGAAGCGGCATCATATGCTAATGTTACCAAGCAGGTGGTAGCCAGATTTATCAAGAAGGATATTATCTGCAGATATGGAATCCCGGAGCGGATTATCACTGACAACGGTTCGAATTTGAATAACAAGATGATGAAGGAATTGTGCCAGAATTTCAAGATTGAACATCACAACTCTTCTCCTTATCGGCCCAAGATGAATGGCGCTGTTGAAGCGGCCAATAAAAACATAAAGAAGATCGTTCAGAAGATGGTTGTGACCTACAAGGACTGGCATGAAATGTTGCCTTTTGCTTTGCACGGTTATCGTACGACGGTACGCACATCAACCGGGGCAACTCCTTTTTCACAGATATATGGTATGGAGGTTGTCCTACCATTGGAGGTTGAGATTCCTTCTTTGAGGGTTTTGCGCGATGTCCAACTTGATGAGGCGGAATAGGTAAAAGATAGACTGAATCAGCTCATTTTGATGGATGAGAAGAGATTGGCTTCTCTAGCATATGGTCGGCTGTATCAAAGCCGGATGAAAAAAGCTTATGATAAGAAGGTATGTCCTCGAAGCTTTCAGACGGGCGATCTTGTGCTGAAAAAGATTCTCCCACCACTATTCGATCACAAGGGCAAATGGACTCCCAACTATGAAGGTCCATATGTCGTTAGAAAGGTTTTCTCTGGAGGAGCCTTATTGTTATCCACCATGGATGGTAAGGATTTTACATCCCCTGTGAACTCGGACGCAGTTAAAAAATACTTTGCTTAAAGAGACCCGCTGGACAGAAAAAGAGAGTCCATGCAAAATGGGGCATCCCGGCGAACCATAAAAAAGAATAAAAGGTTCAGGCAAAAGTTAGGGATAAAATTGAAAAATGTACACTCGCGAAGTTAAAAACCTGAAAAGGGCGACTTCGGAAAAAAAGGGTATCCCGGTG